CCCTGCTGGGAACTGGCCTGCAACCCAGGCATGTGCCCTGACTGGGAATCGAACCTCGGTTGTTTGGTTCGCAGGCCCGCGCTCAATCCACTGAGCTACACCAGCCAGGGCCCAATCTTTTTTTTTTAAATAATTTTTATTTATTGATGAGAGAGAAATGTTGTTTCACTTGAGAGAGAGAGAGAGATTTGTTGTTCCACTTACATATTCTTTGGTTGATTCTTGTATGTGCCCTGTCCAGGGATCGAACCTGCAACCTAAGCCTATCAGGACGACGCTCTAACCAGCTGAGCTACTCCGCCAGGGCTGCACTGCCAGCTTTATCTGACCTAATCTGACCTGCACATCCCCGGGTGTGAATATCTTACCCCTGCCACACCCTCCCTCACACATTCATACACTTAGCCAGACCATGTGCTACTAGATCACAGAAATTGATTTATCTCCTACCTGTCCGGGTCTTAAAAGAGCATTGTAACCAGCTCTATGTTGGGCACCAAACACATCAAGTTCACACCTTAGACAAGGCAAGGCCAAGGCCTAACGAATTCTTCTGGGAAAGATACAGTGGGCCACGTTTAGATTTAGAGTTTATTACTTGCATAGAAATGAAAAGGATAATAAGCTAAAGGTCCCAGTTTCCCCAGATCATTGCCCTTCATGCTCCAAAGGATAATAATACTGAAACAAAATGGACGAGGTGACTGTAATGCAAGTTCTGGCATATCCCATTGTTGATGCGCCCCCCTATTCTGTGTGTGGGGGGGTAAGGCTGAAAACCCATACCCCATCAGAATCCACAGAGCGTGAGAAACTGCCTCACGACAAACTCCTAGGGGCCACGGGTAGGCGAGAACGCGGTGGCCTCAGGGCAGCCCGCTGCAGGCATCCGGGCTCCGGCGTTCCTGGAGGGCCACGGGGCCCTCAGCCTGAAGACTCGCCGGAGGCTGGGTTCAAGCCTGCATGCAAGGCGGGGAGCGTGCCTTGGCAGAGCTGTTACCCCGCAGAGTGACAAAGGCCATCAGTGTTTGGGCTGGAGCTGGAACAAAATCTGCTGCCAAGAACTCCCTGACTCGACAGCCACCCCTGCCAGCCGTGGGTGACTGAGCCGAGAGAAAGCACATGACAGCGAGACAGGCACTTCTTTCCCATAAAAATTACCCTTATTCACAAAAAATTCTGTAAGTATGAGTTACGTGGTAATTATGTGTGGTTACTTGCCACATTTAAGAGAGTATCATTTTGACTTAGTTGAAATTATTTGCAGGAATAGAGAGGGCAGAAAATACAGAGATGCAAAAAGTAGAAAACCCATATCGCCCCCAACCCGGACACCCCAGACACGTTGGAGTGCCCGTGCACTCAGGTGCTTCACAGGCATTGGTGAGATGAAGCCGGAAAAACCCTCACAACCCCGGGAGCAAGTGAGCCTTGCCCCTGCTTGCTTGTCCGTCCTTGGTGAATGGGATCCCTCCACACTCGCCCCCATGTGTCATCTGCATGTACATGGTTTTAAAAACAAAAGCGTACCATATACCAGATACCGTATAGTCTCTTTTGCTACTTGCCATTTACTAAAAAATAAATAGGAATAGCTTTCTAGATCAGTAAACACTTCTATAACAGTTTTGAATGAATGAATTCCACACTCCCTCTTTGGAATGTCACCGGGCAGAGGCCAGCCCTGCCACTCAAGCTGGAGAAGATTCCTCGGGAGACTTGGTTCTGCAGCGCGGTACTTAGACAGGGCCTCTCCGAGCAGCTCGGGGCTTTCTAACCAGCTCAGGTTACAGTCTGATGGTTGCTGCGCAGACACGGCACACATCTCTCAGCAAGCATGCCCATGTCTTTCTAAAATAAGTTCTTACATAAATAGATCCTCATTAAGTTCCACTGAGTAAACTTACTGAGAAGAGGAATACAAAGGAAGAGGGGAGAAAGCAAGAGGGGACACGTCTCAGAAAACTCCAGACCAATAGCTGGGAAGTGGTGCTGGAGTCTTTGCGTTCCCGGGAGGAAGCCGGTGCCCGAGCAAATGGTTGTTGGGTTAGTCTTTTAAAGCAGGACCTTTGTTACCTCCCGATTCCAAGATCAGGGTAGACATGTTGACAAACAAATCATGATCTAGAGGAGAAGGTAAACTGCCTATAAACTGTGACCCAGGGGTAACCGCTGTTCAAGCGTCCATAAAAACATGCCATGTAATTTTACTCGAACTTAACAGAAGGAAAAGAAACTAAACTTCAGAGAAATATTTCTTCAAAATTAGGTATTATTTCTTTAAAGGAATCCTCTAAAATTAAATCATTGAGACACATAGTAAGAGTCTGGAGGTATTTGCGAGGGTCGCACCCTGGGGTGATTGTACCCCTCAGGGGACGCCTTTTGGTTGTCACGCCCTGAGGCAGCTAGTGGGTAAAGACATCCTTCGATGCACAGGACAGGCCCCACAACACAGAATTTTCCAGCCCCAATGTCAACTGCGCTGTGAGAAACCCTGGGTTGTTGCATAGTTGTGGTGTTTTAAATAGTGCATCATTTTAAAGGGCCTATGTTTGTTTCTAGTTGGTAAGTCTCGGTTTCCTTAGGGGTCACATCACAAGTGTCTGAGAGCACAGCCTTTGATCGCAAGTGGCTGAGAGCAAAGTCAGACCACCTGAGAGTCAGGTGGTCTACCTCACCAGTATAGTGACCTTGAACAACCAGACTGAGCCCTAGTTTTCCCAGCTTCAAAACTGCAGTAATGGTAAACCTATGTCACACAGCTGTGGTGAGGACTGAACGAGCTTGGTGAGGACCAAACGAGTCTGGTTTATGCTAAGATCTATGGAAATATTGCTGTTATTATTACTACTATTAATACTAACTTGTTAATACCTTAAATAAACCAAATAGAAAATGCAAATTAAGTGTACTTTTAGGATAATTCTCCAATGAAATTTAGGAAACAAAAATAGATTTATAAGAATAATATTTTTTAATGGAAACTTTAAGAAAAATAAATGAACCCTGGCTGGTGTGGCTCAGTGGATTGAGTGCCAGCCTGCAAACCAAAGGGTCACAGGTTCTATTCCCAGTCAGGGCACATGCCTGGGTTGTGGGCCAGGTCCCCCATAGGGGGTGCATGAGAGACAACCACACATTGATGTTCCTCTCCTTCTCTTTCTCCCTCCCTCCCTCCTCCTCTCTAAAATAAATAAATACAATCTTTTTCAAAAAAAGAAAAGGAAATGAAATGACTCTCTAGGGCCCACTTCTCAATCTAAGGAGTGTGTATGTGAATTCAGCAATTCAGGAAGGCTTTCCTGGTTTCTTGAATTACCTGATCAATGGTGGGTAACATTGCTTCAGAAAACTCTTTCTCTTTCCCCCCTTTATATCTAAAAAATGTGAATGCAGTGTCACAGTTCAAAATTCAGAGCAATAGACCAAGATCAACACTGCGAAGCCCCGCTCCCACAGCTGCGCCTCCAGCTCCCCTCAGGTGATCACGCTGCTGAGTCCCTGACGTATTTCCAGTGTTTCTCTGTGAAAGCAAATGTAAATGCTCTGTATTCTTACATAGCCCCTCTTTCTCAGACAAAAGTATCCTATTTTTCCATTTAACAATCTACCATGGCCACCTATCTTTCCATGTCAGGACACAAGGAGCTGCTTTATTCTGTTGTAAGGGGACATAGTATTCAGTTATGTAGATGTCCTATACTTTGCTTACAAATGTGTTTGTTGTGAGTTTTACAGACATCAACACATTGTCCTCCACGTGTGGTTGTGTCACTTTAGGCTCCCACTGGTAATGTGTGACGGGCCTGTTTCTCTCCAGAAGTCGCTCTACTTTACAGCAATCAAGTGGACAGGCATCCTGGGAGGTCGAAGTGGAGACACGCCCACCTGGGCGTTGGGTGTGTCAAGGCTGCCCCAGAACTGGCAGAATGAATGTTAGTTCAGGGTGGAGTCTGGGCAATTGGATACTATATCGAGGGCAATCATGTTGCCTTGGTCCAAGGACAAGTCAGCTTAATGTCAGTAGTAGGACCCAATAAGACTGGTATTTTTCTGGACTATGACTTGGGTGAAGTTTTGTAATTTGAATGACAAGTCTCTATAATTTTGATGTCTCTTTTACAGAAGCCCTTTGGCCTAATTTCTACACTGGAGCAGATTTAATTCTCTTAAAATCTCCTTACTAACATTGTGAAAGATGAAGTCCCAGAAGCCACTACGTTTCACTCTCTTTCAGTTCGTGTCAATTAGTCAGTGAATTTAGTCTCAATATTTGTGAATTCTCTTTAAATGTTACCCCTGCTGAACCAAAATGTATTTATTTCCTCCCTCATTTTCCAGCAGGTATAAAGCACCATAGAAGTATCCATTTCATAGATGCTATGGGTATTGCCAAGTGCTTTGGAAATTCTAAGATTAAATATTTGAGAATTACATTACTTAAAACAGCTAATTATTATTTTTTAATTAAAAAAATTCACACCACATAATTTACTTCATAGTTAGATTCCTTCTCATCCAGCTTCTTGTTTTTCCTCGGGTTTCTAAGTGTTCCATGAGAAATTTACCCTCAACTCCGTGACAGCGAGCTCCGGGAGATTTACACGCTTCTGTGGAGGAGCCATAGGCAATCCCGCCACACCTCACCAAAGGGCCCAGTTTCCGCAGAACCTGCACCTCCAAATATCTGCGCCTCAACATACCCCAGTTTGCCACATAGCCCATTTTTCAAAATCTCATTCCTCCGAGGACCTCAGCTCCCCCAGTTCCACCAGACACGTGCTATCTCAACGCTCTAACTCCTGTGTGTGTTCCCTTTTTTTTTTTTCCAGTGTTCTCTTTGGAGCCACAGGTCATCCCAGTGCCTGCTTCCTACACAGTGTGATTTTGTCCAACCCTCCTGCTTTGGCGTGGCCGTCAGACACTGTCCGATCTTCTCACAGTGAAGTGCCTGCTTGGTTGGGCTATGGTTATTCAGCTTTGGTTGAACCCCACAGATGCTGTACAAGGCCAAGTATGGTCCAATGTGGACGACTCGTGCAGGACCTCATAGCCACGTGAACCTGGCCAGCGCCCCACTCCTGGAGCAAGTGATGCGGCAAGAGGGCAAGTACCCGGTACGGAGCGACATGGATCTGTGGAAGGAGCACCGGGACCTGCAGGGCCTGGCGTATGGGCCCTTCACCACGTGAGCTGGGGCCTGACGGGACTGGAACGGGGCCCCTGAGGGCCACGCCCAAGGACAGTGGCACTGGGCAACCAGCAGATAAAGGGCAGGGTAGGGTCTCCCCAGTGCTCTGCCAAGAAGGCAGTGGTTGGGATGGACTAAAGGACCATTCCTCAGCTCTGCCATTAGCACATTGCAGGACTTTGGGCACATGAATAACTTCGCCTTCCTTGGCTTCTCGTATATACCATGGGAAGTGCGGACTAACCTGTCTCTGAGGGACTAACACCTTTCCAGCTCCATTATTCTACCTTATGGTTGAAAATGTACCAACTCAAATCGTAATGGGACATACCTGTTTATAGTCGAAGAATGTTAAAACCACGTGAGTTAGGAGGGCTCAATTTAATTTTTAAAGATTCTTTATTTATTTGTTTTTAGAGAGAGGGATAGGCAGAAAGAGAAGGAGAGAAAAATCAGTGTGTGGTTGCCACTCCCCCAGCCCCTGCTGGGGACCTAACCCACAACCCACAACCAGGCATGTGCCCTGACCAGGAATCGAACCAGTGACCTTTTCATTCGCAGGCTGGCACTCAATGCACTGAGCCGCACCAGCCAGGGCTAATTTTTGAAATATTTCCCAAATTACGTACCATATGCTGGTTGTCGGATGTAAGTTTCACGGATGCTGCCCGTACACAAGAGACAGATGTAGGTTCAGTCTTGAAGCTATGCCTAGAAAAGTTCAGATTACTTCAGCAGTGACAGATTGGAGGTGGGCTGAGTACGTTATACACACATATGGCCACTGAGGTAAATAACTGAGAATCACCGGTGATAAACCATTCCCAATGCCACCAGTTGTGTGTGGGTATCTCACAGGCCTTTTTTTTTTGTCATTGTTTTGCTATAGTATGTTAACAGAGCTCCATAAACAACAAGTGGCTTTTATTGTCCCTAGCTGCTCAGTGTCCCTGTTTTAGCCATTTCTTGAGGGAGTAAGGTCGGTCCTGGTGGCAGGAATAGTGGCAGCAATAATGGTAGTGGGTGACTGTGTGTTTACGACACGCCAGGCATCAGCTAGTTTCTTTACGTGTATTATTTCACTTTATCCTCACGACATGCCCACGAAGAAGACTTTTTTTTAACTCATGTGTCCAAGGCATGAACCAGGCACGGGCACAGACCAAAGGCCAACCTGGGATAAACAAGGAGTGACTTTGCCCCTGGCCAATATGAGATAAGCACCAGCAAGCCAGGTGCAACTCTCCCCAGATCAGGGACAGCACGGAGGAGACTTTTATTGCCATTTCATAGATGAAGAAACTGGCCTAGAGGGGTTTTCGTGACACTGGGCAGAGGTGACAACCACTAGCGGGTGGTGGAATAGATCTCTGATTCTGGAGCTCAAGAACTTACCGCTGCAGTGCCCTGGGGAAGAAAACTGGCAGGTTGGAGGCTCGTCCCCTGCGCCTTTGGCGCCGACAGGCGCATTTTCCCCTTGCACGGTTTTCTTTCCTCTTCCCACTTCTGCACGGGTGGACAGTGTCAGAACTGAACAGTTCCTGGGCCCCTTATGTGATGTCCTGGGAAGAAAATAGAAAACAACTGTCCTTCAGGAGCTCTTTAACCTGCCCTGACTGGTGTGGCTCAGTTGGTTGGGCATCAATCTGCAAAGTGAGATCACCGGTTCGATTCCTAGTCAGGGCACATGCCTGGGTTGTGGGTTCAGTCCCCAGATGGGGCACATATTAGAAGCAAATAGATAAAATCTTTAAAAAACAAAACAAAACTCTTTAACCTGATATCTGACCCCGAGAGCGAAATCTGAGCCTCAGACTCCCCAAGTCAGGCCACCTGTGGACTTCGGTTTAGAGTTAGAGCTGAACATTGTGTATGGCCCTTTGTCGTCAATTTGTGCTTTCATGCTCTGAAGCCAGGTACCTGTAGGTGTGATACCGTACGTGTGCATTCAAAGGCCATTTTGCTGACCTGTGGTAATAAGGGTGTTTTTGTTTTAATGTATATGCATGTTTATATTTATGTCTCATTATGAAGCATTGTTTCCCCGAGAAATATTTCATCAACCACAGAAATGCTCTCATTTAAGTTCTATAAATCTGATCCCCACTGTTGGTGAGTTTCACTCTTGGAGAAGCACCTACAACCTGCAGTCTCAGTAAATGGGTCTCTTCTGGCTTTCGTTTCCTTCTCGGTGACACTTTTAGTTTATCTTCTTTCAGGGTTTTTTTTTGTTTGTTTGTTTGTTTTGCTATAGTACGTTCATAGAGTAAAGAAAACTGGGGTTCAAGGTTCCTTTAAGAATCAATATTTTGAAGAATTAAAAATCTGATTTTTGACTTAAGACTGAATGTTTTTCCTTTTAAAATACCTTATTGATTTTGGAAATTCAAAAGTAACATTCACTGTAAACGTTTCAATAATAAAACATTGTCCTTCTGCCTCTCACTCCCGCCCCGCCCTCCTAAGTGGTCCCGGCAGTCGGGCGTGTGTTCTTCCCTTCTTCTGGTGGAAACAGGCCAATACACGTGGAGATGTGTAGGCCTCCTCTTCAAACTGGACTGCACTGTACAATGCTTATGATTCTGGAACTAGCTTATAAAAAATGGACTCATCCCAGCTTTCTTAGGAAAGGTGACAGGTGTGGGGGGACCTGGAGGGGCAGCCCCTGAACATTAGGTGCCCCCACGGGAAGCATGCACCCCATGATGTGAGCATCCCTGACTGCCCAGAGTGGGGACCAAAGCACCTGCTGGATGTCTGTGGCAAGATGGCTAAAGGCATCGGCCTAGTGGGGATCCCTGTCCCCTTGGCCTATTGGGCCGAGAAGAGCATGAAGATTCAGAATAGGGGCCCCCGGGAACCCTGATTGTCTCCTTCTTTATTCCCCATCCTCCACACAGAGGGGCTGCACCGCTGCGTCACCTCCTCCTTTCACACACCGAAGGCTCTGGAGCCCTGGGATTCTAAGATAATCACAGTCGGCAGTCAGTAAGCCCTCACCACGTGCCAGGCACCGATCTGAGCACCAGACAAGCCTACTATGAGAGGCGCTCTTATTATTCCCATTTTACAGAAAGAGAAACTGAGACACAGGGGCATTCCGTGCAGCCCGCCCACGGCCGGTCGCTCAGCCAGGAATCATCATACCTGCGATTTGCCCTTTGGCAGCCTGTGTGTAGATGCCCACCTTAACCACTGCCTCTCTGCTGCAGTGAGATTTAAAAATTTTGTGATTTGAAGATTCTAGCCTTGGAAAGTTTGATGGTTCTATCGTTTTCAATCTCAAAATGAGATTTCCCTAGATTCCGTAGGGTGCTTGAGGGGAGGCTGCCCTCCGATCTGAGCCCCATGGGATACCTACATTTGTGCCCCACAGGCAAGGACATCACTGGTACCAGCTGCGCCAGGCTCTGAACCAGAGGATGCTGAAGCCAGCTGAGGCTGCACTCTACACAGACGCTCTGAATGAGGTGATTGACAGCTTCATGGCCAGACTGAAAGAGCTTCGGGCAGAGAGTGCCTCTGGGGATCGGGTGGCTGACACCGCTCACCAGTTCTACTACTTTGCCTTGGAAGGTACCTTTGTTGGGAGAGGGACTGGGCGGGCATGGTCAGGGGCAGGGTGGTTTACCCTCCTCAAAGACCCCTGGGTTCTGTGTGCCATGGCACTGCCTCCCATGTTGGCCTCTGTGCACTGCCAGCTATTTGCTACATCCTGTTTGAGAAACGTATTGGCTGCCTGGAGCGCTTCATCCCCCAGGACACCGCAGCCTTCGTCAGCTCTGTCGGGCTCATGTTTCACAACTCGCTCTATGCCACCTTCCTCCCCAAGTGGACCCGTCCCTTGCTGCCCTTCTGGAAGAGATACCTTGACGGCTGGAACACCATCTTCTCTTTTGGTGAGGAACCCAGGAAATGAAGCTGGGGGGTGGTCCCAGGGACCATGCATCGGCAGTCTTCCAGAACCACCTCCCTCATGCTAGCAGCTGTTGGAGTAGATCTCGGTCCTTGGAGGTTATGACTTTTGACCTCGTCCTCCCTGTTGTCCACTGTCCCTGTAGGGAAGAAGCTCATTGATCAGAAACTCAATGAGATAGAGGCCCAACTGCAGACAAAAGGGCCAGATGAGGTCCAGATATCTGGCTACCTGCACTTCCTGCTGACCAACGGACAGCTCAGTCCTCACGAGGCCATGGGCAGCCTCCCTGAGCTGCTCATGGCTGGAGTAGACACGGTGCGTGAGGGGGGCCAGCGAGGAGATCAGGGGCTCCCATCCTGATCCAGTTCCCCATTACCCCCCACCTGAACCTGACCTTCGTCCCTCCAGGTACCTGCTTCTATTTCTGTGACATGGATGTAGAACTAGAAGGAAAATGGAGGTGGGGAGGTCGTTCAGCCCAGCAGAGGCGGGCAGGGAATTGTCCTCTTGTAGGAGGGATTCCATCACCTTGCGGAGTCTTCCTGAAAGCTGGGAAGCTTCATCTCACACCTAGTTGAACCCTCTTGCGCTCTAATTTAAGTGGAGAGTTGGAGAGCTTGTCCATCTGTGGCCTCTTTGTAGGACCTCTTTTCATGTTGGGTTTTTGTTTTTTTTTTTAATGTCGGGTTTCTCTGTGTTAGAGTCTCCTCTGTTGCTCAAGGGCCATTCTCCGTCATTGGTCCTCATCCCACGGTGGAGTCGCGTTTAGCGCGGAGGGCCCCACAGACCCCCGTCTTATCCTGTCCTACTCGTGGCAAATTCGTTTTTCCCCACATGTTGCATGTACCCACTCACACCCTCTCACTGCCTAACTGGCTTCTTTCCTGCAAATCCCTTCTCACTTCATCTCCCGCTGTATTCCCCAGACGTCCAACACATTGACATGGGCCCTGTACCACCTTTCAAAGAGCCCAGAGATCCAGGCGGCCTTGCATGAGGAAGTGGTGGGCGTGGTGCCAGCTGGGCAGGTGCCCCAGCACAAGGACTTTGCCCACATGCCCCTTCTCAAAGCTGTGCTTAAGGAGACCCTGCGGTAAGCTGCTGCTCCTGGACCACAGGGTCCGTGCGTGGGGGGTGACACAGGAGTGGGCAGTGGGGCCTGGTGGGCTGAGGTTCATTGTCCAGAGGCGAGATGGCAGAGGGGCCTGGGGAACCAAAAAGGTGGGGTGGAAGGGGCGGCACTCTGCCCCGCTTGGATCCAGAGGCAGGCCTGCCTTTTCTTTTCCCTGCAGTCTCTACCCTGTGGTCCCCATAAACTCCCGGGTAATCATGGAAAAAGAGATTGAAGTTGGCGGCTTCCTCTTCCCCAAGAACGTGAGTGGGGCTGGGTGGCTGGGGTTCCTAGGGGTGCCCCACAGCCCGAAGCTGATGTGCTACCCATTCTTCCTCTGAAGACCCAGTTCGTGTTCTGCCACTATGTGGTGTCCCGGGACCCTAGCATCTTCCCCGAGCCTGAGCGCTTCCATCCCCACCGCTGGCTGAAGAAGAGTCCGCCTGATGCCCTCGGGGTCCAACACCCATTTGGCTCTGTGCCCTTCGGCTACGGGATCCGGGGTTGCCTGGGCCGCAGGGTTGCAGAGCTGGAGATGCAGCTGCTGCTGGCGAGGGTGAGTGGGGAGTGGCAGGAGGTGTGTGGGCCAGGGCGGGGTGAAGGAGGCCTGGGCGGGCAGAGGAAGGGAGGCAAGGGTGGGGGCATGCAGTGGATGAAGACCACAGACGTTAACTGCCCCGTGTGCATTTTACCTCCCAGCTGATCCAGCAGTACGAGGTAGTCCTGGCTCCTGAGACAGGGGAGGTGAAGAGTGTGGCCCGCATTGTCCTGGTTCCTAATAAGAAGGTGGGCCTGCGTTTCCTGGAGAGACAGAGCTGAGCGGGGGGCCCCCGCCGTCCTGGGGCCCACCCTAGAGGCCCTGGCCCTGGGGCAGTGATTTCTGGCCATTGCTGTGTCTCGGATGAGGGGGAAAGGGAGGCTGCCAGATACCAAAGGTTGGAGGAACTCAGTGCACTTCCTGTAGAACCCTGAGCTGTTGCTACTTTTATCATTTTGTGCATCTCCCTTCTAGATAAAAGGCCATGCCCTTGTCACATTGCTGTCCTTTGGAAAGCAGAATAAAGGAACTTTTGTGGTAACTGGAGACGTTGGTCATTCTTTTTGATGACTGAACATCTGAACCCCTTTCTGTGTTTGGGGAATGCCCTCTTCCCACTTAGGAATCTTGGGGGAGGCAGAGATGCCTCCCTCTATGGAAAATGAGGGCCCTGTATGCTTTCCCAGACCTCACAGCAAGGCCTCGGCCTCACCCGGGACTGGCTGAGGCCCAGCCTGAGCAGGAGCTGCGGAGGTGCTCCCAGACCCTGAGAACAGCACCCTCTATTGAACAGAAAGTGCTTGGATACAGGCGGTGAAGTGCCACACAAATTGTTGTGGGAACTCTAGGCTAAGCCTACAGGAGTGTGACTTCTAGGACCTCACCAGGGCACTGACCAGCCTGGGGAACAACATGTTGGCCTCACTCGGAAAACTGAGAGCTGGGAAGTTCTCATTACAACTGTTGGCTCCAGAGCTGCTCCGTGTCTCCCAGGTCTATGCTGGGCAAAAGAAAGAAAGGTAGGAAGGAGGGAAGGAAGGGAGGGAGAGAGAAGGGGGAGAGGGAGAGAGAAAGAAAGAAGGAAAGAAAGGATTCTCTCCCCACTCCTACCCCTTAATACCCATGAGGCCAGTGGGCACTGGACCTGGACTTCTGTTAACGCCTCCAAAAAGATCAGGAGTAGCAGGTGTGCTGCCTCTGTCTCACTGCCACCTTCCAAATCTGTTTCACATGCGTTTGAGAGGTGGGACCTGACTCCCACCTGGAACTCTAGCTGCAAGGACGTCTGAGGATTATAGTTTTTTGTTTCCAAACCTCTGCAGCACAGAAAGCCAGCTAGAGTGAAAGCGGGTTTGCACTGAGACCCAATGTCCCGAATCAGAAGCCTAAGAACTCAGCGAGTCCCAGCTTCATAGAGGCCCAGCCCTGGTTGCAAATTTCTGCTGAGTCATAGAAAACAAAAGTCGAGTTTCTTATGTCTGTGGGGATTTGAGTTTGCACCCATTTAAAGAGCACACACTAAAATCTTTCAGTGGTCTTCTTCAGTACCGCTCAAGTTCAAAATCCTTCCTGTGGCTCGGAAGACTCCTGTCCTGCCTGGCACACTGGCCTCTGTACTCCCCTGTCAGCCTTGGCTCTTCCCATGGCTGAGCCCGAATTCCTTGTATTTCCCGAGCACAGTGTGCTCTTTCTGGTCTCAATACTTTGTACTGCATGTCCCCTCTCCTTGGAACGTCCTCCTCACCAACTGTCATGTCATCGCAGAGAACCTGCTTTTCCTTAGAACTCATCTCAAATGTCACTTGCCTCTGCAAAGCCTTCCCTGACCTCCCTGGGCAAGTGTGAGCACTGCCTCTGTGCCTCCCCCACCCCCTTCCTCTTATGGAACCGAGCGCTCAGTCTGTTCCCCGAGCTGTAAACACGCCTGTCTCCCTGGCGCTGAGAGCCCCACGGAGGGCACCAGTCAAGCCTCTTTCAGTTTGGATCCCAGTGTCTAACTCTGGGTCTAGCACTCGGGAGGTGATTAATAAATGTTTGCTGAATGAGAAGAGACAGGAATTGGGGAAAGGAAAGGGAAGGACGAGGATGCATATGAGCTTTGCATATTGAGAAGAGAAACCTGGAGAGACCTGGAAGTCCCGATTAGAAAGGTGTGGCTCTCGACCCTGCTTGTGGAGGGCCACCAGTGAGAGCCCCTTAGAAACGCGGGGGACTGGGGCTGGGCTCAGAGGTGCCAGGATCCCTGTCACTGCGTCACCCAAAGCTGACGTCTGCCTTTCCCCGCGGGCTGCTCCTTCCGACCGCCAAAAGTGAGCTGTCCAAGCCGCGTGAACCCCTTAGTGCTGGCACCTGGGTCAGGGGATGGGGCTTGGAGTCGGGGACTTGTAGCGTCTCTCCAAGAGGGTCAGCGTTCACGATCTGCGGCTCGGTGAGTGGATGCACAGGCTGATCTCCCACTAAAATCTGTGCAGAGCTTATATATCCATGGACAGACCATTACTTGGCCATAAAAAGAAATGAAACACTGATTCATGTTACATCATGGGTGAGCCTTGAAAACCAGAATGAAGGAAACTAGACCAAAAAAAAAAAAAAAAGACCATATCTTCTTAAATTAAAGTTATTGGGGTGACATTGGTTAATAAGAGTATGTTGGTTTCAAGTGTCAATTTCTGTAATACACAATCTCTGTACTGCACTGTGTGCTCATCACCCAACGTTGAATCACCTTCTGTCACCATGTATTTGGAAAAGACCACATCCTTTGTGATTCTGTTTACACAAAGTGTCTAGAATAGGCAAATCCATGGGGACAAAAAGTAGATTAGTAGTTGCCAGAAGCCTGGGGTGTGGGGAGGGATCATGGGGTGATTGTTAATGAGCGTAGAGTTTCTATTGGATGAAGAATATGGCCTGGAATTAGACAGTGGCTATGGTTGCAGAATTTCATGACTGTATTAAATACCACTGACTTGTACACTTTGAGAGAATGAATTTAAATGGCATGTGAATTATATCTCAGTTGAAAAACATCCGTGGAGCTGAGTTAGTAGAAATAGCTGCCGATGGTGACAGTACCTCCGGCTGCACCGCAGGGCGTCCTGGGGCGGGGCTGTCCGTCTCTGCGTCCTAAAGTGCAACCTCCAATCAGAAATTAGAAATGCAGAGCTGAAACAAGAGCTAGGCAGTTGGGGAAATAGTGTTGTCGTGTGATGATCAGTTAAAGAGCAGGTGAGGTGCAGGCACAGCCTCTGAGGCTCCCCCAATAGCTTTGGCCACCAGTGATGAGTGAACACTGGGTCCCACGGACGTAAGGGCCGAAGAGCTATTAATACAGCCAGGGAACCTGGCCCACAGACAGAGCTCTGGGAAGAAGGATCAGAGATTCCTCCCCTGAACAGAGAAAACCAAAATACAACAAGGCCAAAGAGGTTTTCTTGTTTTATACTAGATATTCTTTTTTTTTTTTTAAATTTTAAAAAGACTGATTGAAATGTACCTGGGGAACAGCACATGTAAACCATGTATGCACATGAAGTTCTTTCTCTTATCTTGGGGGGGGCGTGAAAATGGCCTCTGTCAGTTTATATTCTGGCATCGTGCCTGCACAAGACGCTTCATGTACATGAAAAAAGCACTTTCTTTGGTGATGTAATAGCGTGAGCTCTTTCCTTTGCACCTTTCTCTCTGGAGGGTGAGAAACATCAGCTGTGGTTTGAGGTTTGGCACAAAAGCCCATCAGAGGCCAAAGGGGGATGAGACGCACTTCCAGGGTCTGGGGTCTCGGGGACGGTGTGCTGCCCCAGGCAGGGGTAAGGGGGTGTCCTGGTGAGGCTCCCTGATAACCCACCCTGACCTGACTCTGTAAAGAAAGAAGAGCAATAAGATTTGGGGTAACTGCAGAAGGGTATACATTACCTCAGCACAGCAGATGTACCTTCGACTGAAAGAAAGTTCTCCGCAGGGCGGTGAACTGCTGGGACCTCGGGAGGGTGGAGACCTGTCTGTTCTGGAGGGCAGCAGAATGGGGAAAGACCGCCTTCCCCAGGCTGCCTGTTCCACCCAAGGCCCGTGCTGGGACCTCTGACGGCCTGGGCAACCCAGGGCACCACCCCCAAAGCCTGAGACTGCCACGCTTTCCCTAGAGCCAGCACGGTCAGGGGCAGCCTGCCCTGCCCACCCCCACCCAAGGACGTTGTCACTTGAGTGGGCAAATGCCTGTATCCCATCCTCCCAGTTGAGCCCAAGACCCAGTACCTTCCCAGGTAGAGCCACAGCAGAGCCAGCACCTGACCTGTGGGCTAGAGCCAAACCGGACACGGAAGCTGGGAGTCTGGGAAAACACCTGCATCTGCCACCTGACCCAGCAGGCTCCTGCCTGCACCCTGCTGCTCTGTGAGGTAAACGGGGCGGGAGCACACTTAAGATGTGTTAGCCTCTCCCTCCCCGATGGCCAGCTCTACCTGCAGTGTCCCTGGTCACAGTGAGGGTGACACAGCAGAAGCTCGGACCTGACTTTGGAATTTCAAAAGCCTAATTCTCAAGATGGGTGTCAGAAACTCAAGACACACACAGCAGATTTGGAAGAGCATATGATGGGTTAGGAAAAAAATGTCCCACCTTCCCCACAGGGTAAAGATTCCACAGGCCAGTGGGGCTTGGGGAAGCAAAGAGTATAGACAGTTCTGGGGTCCCTGAGAAGGAGCTGTGTCTGGGGTGGTGGGAAGAATAACAAATACCCCAGGGAGGTTTGGAGGGCATAGGCAGGAAGCCCCCTGGGACGCATGTTCCCTGAGAACACCCGCAGGGCTCACAACAGAGTAGGCCACTTGCTGCCCATCTCAGCAGATGGGCTTGCGACAGCTTCCTGAGCCCAAAGTGGTGCAGGGCCAGAAACGAGAATGTCTTCACGGCCCAAGGGCAGGCAGGCCCAAAGAGGCTTCATGGCAGTGAGTGAGGGGTCACTGAGCAGGGGCGGTGCCCACCAATGACCCACCACGTGACAACTGGGTAGGATGGGGACGTGTTAACAGGAGGTGACGTGGGTGGGTGATGATGATGGCTGAGGAACAAATTTTTACATCATTGAAAGCTTCCTCCTCCTCCTCACTGAACTTAACCGCAGGAGAAGATGGAAGGGGAACCTCAAACTGACTGAGATTAATTTCTACCTCCTGGCGAAGGGGGCTTCATAATAGAAATGACATTCAGTATTAGAAAAACAAAGTTAAGTTTCTTGCAGACTAGAGTTTATGGAGTGAGTTGTAGCTACTGTGCAAGGAACTAGTATTTTTTTTATGGCTTTGTTATAAATAAAAGATGAAACAGAAACGTCAGTGGGATAACACACCGTGCGCACCAAAGGAATGCCGCTTGCAGCTCTGGCCAGTGATAGATTTTCCTTCTGGTCTTTGAGTTCGGAAAGTACAAGTTCAGGGATCTTGCCACAAGTTCAGGTCAAATGACTGTAGCATTTTCTGAGTGAAACATAAAATCTAAGTTCACAGGCTGCTCTGTTTTCTCTATCATTCCTCCTCACGATCTGA